TTTCTGTACAGTTAATGTGGACTAGGGAATCACAGATGACAACACTGACCTTCACTGACTCCTTATGTGGGCAGTCACAGTGCAGAGTCCTGCTGGGGTCAGTCCATCCTGCTGCTCTATTCACCTACACACATCACCAGGACTTTCAGGGACTCAGTATTTTTTTCTGATGCAGAAAACAAACCTGCTTTTTAAGCCTTCCCCAGACAATCATTAAAGAACTCTTCAGTGCTTCTAAACACAGAAAGGGAACTGGGGGATTAGCTTGCCATCTTAATACACACATGGCAAGGCTCACAAACCCAAGCAAAAGCTGAGCCTCAGCCTTAACACTAGGCTGGGTCAATTCAGGCTGAGAGCAACATTTAAGCTGTGGCTATAGGTGGGTGCAGAGCAGAGTCAGGACAACATTTAAATAACTGCTAGGTTCTGCAATCGAGACATATCTTCCCCTCTAAACAGTTATAGCAGGAACTCAAATTTCTAAATATGAAGGAGGAGGTCTTCTCAAAAAAGGATGGAATTTGAGACATAAGACAGGCTTCAGTCTTAAGTCACTGATTCTGTAGTCTCTGAAAAAACAGGAAAGAGGATACTAAGAAATCAGATAGACACAAAAACATGCAAAGCTGTGGAAAACTGTGGCCACCCTCTGCCCACCATAAGAAAAGGAAACTTGTGCAGATTTGCAAATTCCAGTGAAAAATCTTTCTAGGAGCTTCTGCCCAGCACTGACATTAATATATGCTTGCCATCTCCCTGAGAGTTAGAAAAGCTAGCAAAATTAATTGAAACATTTGAAGTCTTTATTTCATTTGACTGTATGGAAAATTATACTATTTGCATCCTTATTGGTCTACTGTGATGTTCTGGATCTCTCTTATAGAATAGTGCAGCTGTGTTTCAGAGAGTGAGACAGAATGAAACATTACATTTTAAACTAGACATATGGCTATGTATGGTCATTAGGTCAGCATAATAATGTGCTCTGTGTCATAATTAAATTATCTTGCACAGTTTCAGAAAGTGAAATTTAGGAACAAAGTCTGCAAGATTTCGATAGGATACTGTGCTTGGATTATGAATTGATCAAATATTATCAACAGCATCAAAATATCACCTTGACTGATAATTTACAGGTGCTTATTCAGGTGCTATGGATGAAAAGGATTTCCCTGTTCTCTCATGTGACACTTGCCACAGAAACCTCCATGATATTTGCTACAAAGAAAGGAAACTCCTTCATAGTATGCCATTGGGCGTTGTAAAATCCAGTGATGTTCAGATGAATTACAAAGATAAATATATATAACCACAATTGAATGTTGCAAAGCACTTACAAATATTCTAGTGATTAATACTGGAGAGAGAAAGAAAAAACTTAAAACAAAGCCTGGTAACATTTTGGCCTGCAGTTCTTTTCCAAGAGTATCTTAAAGGCTCCAATGGACAAGCTAGAATGCGTTAGCACAAGGCAGGAGATTACCACCCTGAGCTGTTCACCTCACACATGATGTGCATTAGAAGAACAGCAGTTCAACCAGTTCCTAACAAACTGGGAACCCGCAACAGAATTTCATAATAATCTGGGATGGTTTCCCTAAAAATCATCTCAACAATTGATTGATGAACAACTGAGTTGTCCACACAGCAGACATTGGGGGAGCATCTGGGGAAGGTAGCCTTGCCTTTGCCTTACTAAGTGGTTCCACTCCTTAGTTGGTGCTCCAGGCCAAAATCATGCTCATACACTTGAAAGATGATGAGCTAACTTTTTACACTGAGGTCACATTGGAAAACTGAGATCTGCAGTCAGATATAGATAAACTTGCTGAGATTTTAGTAAGAAAACCAGGGTCGCAGTGGGAGGAACAGAAAAAAAAAAAAAGAACTCCTGTTAATGGCAACTCCAGTTCCTTTCTACCTCCAATTTTCTACATTTATGGGCTATTTCTCAATTTCGCCACTCTCCTTAATCTTGAATTGCCATTTCACACAATTTATCTTACATGCCGCTGGAAAGAAAAAGCAATGAGTTTGACTCTGGGGCTCTCTCTTCCTTGTTCACTTAATGTGAATATAGGATCATCACAAGATCGGATTTATATCCTGTCTTGGATTCTCAAAATGTTTGTTCTTTCTGATAAGATAAATCCCACTGCAGAGGACCTCTTTGAAGAAAATCTCCCGTCTAGCCATTTTTAAAACTTTTTATTTTTCTTTAGCCTGAGTCTAGTTTAATATTTATCCTGTGTGATGAAGCAGAGTATCAGCAACAACCCTTCATAACATCTGCAGCCTATTTTCCAGGATAGAAAAACCTAAGTATGTTCAGTAGCTACTTCTATTACTGAATCTTAATAAATTGTTTTTATTAAGATTGTCCTTCTGAACAGGTCTGCTGTCCTTCTGAAGCTCTGGAACATTAAAGTGACAGAAGCAGCAACATTGTACCACCCAGCTGAAGATGGACCCAGATGATACAGGTTCTGCAGGATGCTGCAGCTGTTAAATGACAGTATCCTTTCAAACTGTACTGTTGCGTTCCCCCTCACCCTGCCCACGTTACTAGACAAGGAGCACAAACAAAACACTTAATTTGAACCCACCAAATATAAACAACAGAACCAAACCCAGCCATGTTACATTATAAACAACAGATCACACGGACTCAACTTTAATAGTCGCTATTATAATTAAAAAGCTATTTTTTCTTGCATAAGATAATAAGAAGAACATGCTGTGCTCCATTACTCTCTCTCTCCAATTATTATAATGTAGCTTGTTTCCCACACCCACCACTTTTTGGAAAAAAAAAAAAAAATTAAAAATTACAAGTTTGTATATCAGCCTCCCGCTAGCGTAGATTCCAGGAAATTTGCAATGAATTCATGATGATAAAGACTGGCTGGTTTATGTCTTCACCTGTGTTACATGTATCTTCTCACCTGTGTTAGTTGACAGAGGTAAAACAAAGCTCCTCCAGGGCAGCAAGCTGGACTGAACGAAAACCAGGCAATGCTCCATGCATAGCAAGAGGTTGAAGCACCAAAGACAGTGGCTGTAATTGCATAGTCTTGATTTGCCAAATCGTTAAGGCAGGCTACTTGCCACAAAGTAATTGCAGATCTCATGTATTTCAGCAAAGCTGTGCTCTTAATGTTTGGCACGTAAAAAAGCACTTTGAGCATTAAAGGTTTATTTCAGCTATACGACATGCATGCAACTAGTATATTATCATCCCCATTTTAAGGATGGAAAATTAAAGGTTTCAGCCATGCTCATATACTAAATGGGCAGAACTTAGGAATTTAGATTTTCATCAAGTAGGTTCAATCCAGGACTTCAGTTAAAGTTTGGTTCCTTCAAGGAACTTAAGCCTGTCAGTTTGTGTATTTTTTCCAAGCTACTAAAAAAAACCCCTCAGGTTTACCCTTCCAACCTTCAAAGCAACTTTAAAAAAGGGATGGGTATCCCTGAAAAATTAGCACTTTAAAACCAGATCTGAAAAAAAACGCAAAGCAGTGATGGCACTTTAGCTTGTAGGTCATTATATTTTACAGTTGCTTCCTTTTGACTAATAAAAAAAAGTCTGCAAGTGCACTAAGAATTGGAAACACCCCACTTGAGCTTTTAATTAGAAAACATGAGAACTGTAAAACCAAATCTTAGCAACATCACATGTTTCAACTTTAATTTTTCTGTACTGTTATTGGCAGTTGCAGTGTTGTCTGGAAGAACCAGTTGTAGCTAGAATAGTATTGTGCATGAGTGTCACATGCATAAGGTAGCAATGTGTTGCCATTTTTCCACTGTTTGCAACAAAGCAAGATGAAATAATGGAAGTTGGGGGGAATAAAGGATAAAAACAGTAAAAAAGGGAATGCTCACTGGGCCTGGCCAATGTCACATACACAGAGGGTTTCTGACTGATGCCTTAAAATCATAATAAAAGTAAGCTAATTAAAAAAAAAAACTTTCTAAAGGTTTGATAAAAATAACTCTTCCTTGGTTTAAACACTTTAATTTATCTGCTTTTTATGAAAAATGCCAACTTTTCTTCAAAAGGTCAAATCCAAGAACTACTTCTGAGTTTTGGTTTTGCACTTAAAAATTTATATACTCCAAAAATTGTTTTTCTGCCCAGTTCCTGTTGAAAAATCCCAGTTCCTGGCCTGCTCTTGCATAAATAAATAAAATAAATATCAGATGCCCTCTACTGGCCCCCTGTTTAAGTTAGGGTTTCAGAAGTTATGCATTTCCCAAATTCTTTCTAGCCCTTGCTTTTGTTACAGTAAAGTTGCAGTTTCCTGTCTGTCAGACAAGTCCCACCACTTCAAGGATTAAGAGTGTGGTCAGTTTGATGATAGAGCTGTCAGCGTGCAATCAGAGCGTGACATAGACAGAAGGAAGCTGAAAGGGCTGAGAAGAAAAACTGGCAGCTCCAGGAAAAAGATTTGGGTTAAGGGAGGATAATGGAAGGTAGCTAGAACAAAGAAGATATATACCAGGATTAAAGTATGAAAGAAATAGGATGCCAGTAAGCACAATTCAATGTCCCAAGCATGAAGGGAAGGGGAGAACTTGGGATCCACACCCCACTACACACCCTTTTAACCCCTTTGGGTTAACAAGTTCCCTTGAACAAATCCATCTTTCCTCTGAAAATGCTCTTTTTGCTTTCAGATTAACAACATGTACGGCAGGTGGTGCAGATAAAGTGTCACAAGTCTCTTTCCTGATTCCTAGCTTGACTACTAGGAAGAATATGCTGTAGCTCAACTAGGTTGTACTTAGCACATACTCAGGTTTTGCAACACTGTCTAGTCAAACGGACCTGTAATGCTCCTGCCTCCTCAGGAGGGTAGACACTGGTGTTTTGTTCTTGAGTATATGTCTCATATTGCAGAGGCAACTTCACTGTCTTTGCAGCCTACTAGGCAGCTTCAGGAAAAGGCAAAACCAAATGGAGAAAGCCCTCCATCATCTCTGTTTCTTACCTTCCCCTCAAATCTTGCAGTGCCTCCCAGCTGCACTCGGATATTCCGAGGAGGAAGAGTAAATGCTGGTGCTTCAGCAGGGACGGGGGCGCTGAGTGTCAGGGAGGTTTTGGAGACTCGAGTAGATGTCACCAGTTTCACATCCCCCATGATGTGGGCTGTAAAAGAGAAACAAGTGGTAATATAGAAGTTGCTATTATTAATTACTTACATTACAGTAACAGCTAAGAATCAGATCAGGAGCAGATTGTTTTACATGTATACTATATTCATATACATAGTATGAGTCTTTGACCTAAGCTGACAAGTGCTATTTTCTAGGTGGGGAACTGAGACCCAGGAAGATTGCTTGGTGTGCCTACAGTTGCGGTCAGGGCCACAGCCTTGAGCTCAACTCAGTTTGAACTCTCAAGTCCCAGGCCAGAGCATTAACCAAAAAGTCATCCTTTACAACTGCATTAAAAGGTAATAACTTATTTCAGGAGGATATTTTCACAACATGACTTTGATTTTCCTGGCCTGGAATATACCAAAATCAGTAAGTCTCAAAAGTAGAGCCAGCATTAAACAAGTACTTACAAAATAGAGAGAAGTCTGTTTACACTGGATTTAGGTTGCAAGTGGGAATGTGGAAAATCTGATTTTTCATACCATGCTTTCAAGATCTTAAGAAATATCTGGATATCTCCCTGCAAAGTACTGCTAGTACATAACAAATACTTTTGCAGACATTCCAAGTCTCTACTTTACTCCAAATCCTTCTACAGTAGTTACTTAGACTAGTAAAATAGCATGGAGACCAAATTTCATAATGCTACAAAAATGCCATTTTAGAGACCTCATTACAGATATCTGCTTCAGAGGTGATTCTTCTGCTACACATTTCATACTCCCCAAGAGAAAGCAAAAATTATTGTATTTTCAAAAAGTAAAATTTCAGGTTTTCCAGAAAAAAAGTAGTAGCTGACCTTTGTACTAATTCCTTGAATAATCACCTATGTAAATTAGAAGCCCCATTGTAAAATGCCTATTTAATAGACAAATTTCACAACAAAAAAAACTCTGAGAAATGGCTTGACCCACCAATAGGTCATGTTGAACCAATGAAGAACACTGGGCATTGGGCTTCCAGTCATAATCCTCTGCCATACACACCAATCCCTGATAGCCTATGTATTTATTCATCTGATTCTGATGAAAGTTACAACAAATACTTGAGTAAACAATGAAACTTCAATTTGAACAAGAGAAAAATCAATTAAACTAGAGACACTTACTCCTGACTCTATGAAGGATACTTTTTCTAGAATAGGCTGCATTTTTCTGGGGAGCAAGGGAACACAAAACTCATTCATTTCCAAATAGGACTCGCACTCTAATGTCACATGTATGCATCTGAAAACCTAGTCTGAGAACACAGTTTTCCATACAGCGTACCAGACACGCTCCACAAACATGCAGAAACACCTTCTCTATATTGATTGAAATGAGTTTAACAGGGCAACTCCTCTCATGGAAATTATTAGTCTAAAAGCTAGATGTTTAATCTGAACTAGAAGTTTTGGCTCCCTCACAGTCAGCAGAGAGAGGGACCTCCAGATGGTGTTTTGTTCTAAGGTGTGGGACCCACAGAGCTTTCTGCTTCACGGTATTTGACAGGAACTATGGTTTAGAAGGCAAATCCTTCCAAGATATCAGTTAAATTACGTATGCACACAGATTTTCAGAAAATGCTTGAAATCTCCTTCCTCATTCATAGGAATCCAGATGACTTGGACTTTGGATTTCTTCTGGAGTGGTGTTCTATTAGCATTTCCATGTATCAACATGCAAAACCCCAAGAAAATCCTCTAGTGTTTCTAATAATTGAATTGCTGAGACCAACACATAAATGGACTAAAGATTATTTCCTTAACCATGATGCAAAGCTTTAAACTGAGAAATTCTACCTTGATTTACATGAGAGTTAATCTTGCAGTGAATCTTTGTATTGGCACCCAGTCACTTGAGAGCACAGCATAAATACCCCTTTCCAGTATAAGCAACTGTTTAAAATACAAACAGGAAAATAAACTTCCAAAATTATCTTTGTACCTTAAATTATCAAAGAACCCTATGAAATCATATTATGATTTCAGGAAGGAAGAAATTGATTGTACTCCAGAGACAAGATATGAAATCAAAGTCTTGTTTCTTTTCTAAGAAGTGTGCTTAGCACCCTAAGAGACAAAGAATGACAGTCTCTGACAGCTATAGTCACTGCAATGAACAACCATTTGCCTGAAAAAGAGAGAGAATTATTCTTTCAGTTAATTGTTCTTTCATTAAGGACAAGACTCCAAACTCAATTCTCCACTCAGCTAAAACCACAGTTTATCCCAGCAGATTTTCAATCAATTACACAGCTGTAAACTAATGCATACAGAGTTGATATTTGCCAGCACGTTTTTAAAATTAATTTTTCTTTACAGATTAAAAATATTTTAAACTCAGATTGCCATAAATATCAACAGTGATCTTCTGTCACTTTTAGTATAAGATGTTGATAATTTTATACCTGCTTACCCTTTTCTGAATTGGTCTAAATCCCATTTTAAGGTTTATTTCTAATTTTCTTTTTTTCTGTCCTCTTTCTCAAAGTGCTTCCTTGAATTTCCATCTTTTCCACAGATGATCTGCACTTTGACATGCTCAACTAACTATTCAATCTTAAGTTTTTCTTCCCACATGTTGCTCTCCTCTGCTTAGCTACACCTTTCCATAGCCTATAGATGCACAAATCTGTAATGTCTCCCTAGCTGTGAAACTCCTAACTCACAAACCAGTCTGCCAATACAAGCTTGCAATAAAATTTTCAGATCACCAATAGTGACAATAACATGCCAGGTATAATACAGATGAAAAATCTTCTCCAGTCTGAAGACACTGTAATGCATTTTATTCCATAAGAAACCAGTAACAAAACCCATTCTTCCACACACACATCTGTATCAACTTTGCAGAGAGTTTACAAAACCAAAACAACATCAAAAAAAGCATATATCCTCTAATTTATTTTTTAAAAAATAATATTGTAAGAGTAAGAACATTGAAACCAAAACAATAAAACCCAACAACCAACATCCAGAATCCAATTCAAACTTGATATTCACCCATGCAAATGGAACTCCATTTTGGCCAATGCCGTTATAATGGCTGAAACAAACAAGACAGAAAACTATCTGCACTGCAGATGCTCACAGGACTATTGCATAGAGACAAAATGCTCCAGTATCTGCCCTTAGGTACCATGCACTTCTTATGCAGGGCGACCTTAAGGAACATGTTAGGCATGACACTTGCTTACACACAGAAACCTCCACACTGGGTATGCTAAAGACCAAATTCACCAAGTACCTGAAGCAGAGCCACCAGCCTATGCCTGGAGAATACACTGTATTCAACATATGCTCATCCTCCAAGCGTCACTGGGCTCAGCTGTCTGGACTGCATTGGACGAGAAGTCTTGTGGCTAGGAAAGACCCTCTGATGAAAAGGCTGAGCTAAAGCCCAACACCAGCTTTCCACTGATTTCTCTGGTTATTTTGAGAGAAAATAAAAATTACAAAATGAAATTAGGAGGGAAAAAAAAAGAAAAAAAGAAAATAAAGAAACTGGGGGGGCGGAAAGGGGAGAGTAGAATGAAAGAAGAAAAAATCCTGAACAACTAAGCCACTCTTACTGATCATGTTACATTTCATTGCAATGAAGATGCTAAAAACTGTCAGCAAATTGATGCCTGATACAGCAAGACTGTAAAGCATAAGATAAAGTAATAGCTAGATTTTTCCATAAGCACATCTTGCACAGATTTATGTTTTTATAAATGAAGTGTCTAAATGTCATTGAATTTACAAATGAGTATTAGCTCAAATAAGCACAAGCAGTTTTCTAGCAACATAAAGTCTCTAATCATCCATATGTAGCAGTCTGACTTTAATTGGTTATGTATGGTGAAGAAGCTTCTAGTAAATAATTAGGAAGGTTTTTTTTCAGCTTAGAGGATGTTTAACAATTATGTTCCCAAACAAATAAATAATTCTGCATTGTGCAGTCTGGTGTTACTGTGGAACTACCATGTTCAAATATTTTAAAGAAATAATGTTCCAGAGAACAAATCTTGTTCAAGCTTAAAATGTGATAGACAGGAAGAAAGCAGAGAGTTAAAAGCTACAGAATGTATCTGATTTTTCTTTTCTTTTATTTAAGCAACTTTCTAGGATGAGCCTATCCCTAAAATCTTTTTCTTAGGTACTCCAAGCTTGTTGCTGAGTAAGATTTCAAGGATGCTACATCACAATATTTCATTTCACATGCTGAGTGCACCTAGACTATGATCTTTAACAAAACCAACTGTAACTGAAGTTGCAATACAAACATTGTGGTATTAAACAGAAAAGAAAACCACCATGCAAATGATGGCTTGTAGGGTAGTGATGTGGTTAGACAGCATTTCTAATCTGGATTTTTTTTTTATTCTTAATCCTTTCTAAAAAGCACACAAATCCTTACAAATTCTCACAGTGTGCCCTCTAATCTTTCTAATACCAAAGCAGACTAACGTGTTTCAAGCATTTTCTACTAGGAACAAATCTCTGTCACTCAATGCTCTGCTCACAAAAATAAACCCGAAAAAGCAAACACTAAGAAATCCACCTCGCAGTTTTTTCTCCTCCACTTATTTTATGTAAGTAAATACTTACCATCAGCTTCCTACATAAGCATTTAATTACACTAATTTCCTTTTACCAAGTTCTTCCTCCGAGGCAGAAGAAAAATGAGTTGCAGAGAAAGTACGCGTGTGCATACGAGAGAGCAAGCTCGCGCAAGTGAGAGGAAACCAGAGCTACCAGCTGAAAAAAATCTTTATTTGACTTACTGATACTGCAACTCTACACCTAAGCAACACATTTTTACTTGGTCCAGCTACTCTGTTCTTTTAGCCAGACTACCTTCAATAACCTCTGAACCTTCTCTCAAATCTGGATAGAATCTTTTGAGATCTTTAAAAACAGGAGCAAAAGGACAGACAGCCCAGGGGTTGGAGCATTTGTCTGCTGTTTAGGAGTCCCGGTTGAATTCGCTGTTCCATAATGGGCTGCCTGCATGAC